GCTTTGGGGGGCTGGCCTGGGGCCTGGGGCCTCTGTAGCCTCAGGCATCTCTAAAACTCCACAGGTGGCCAACCCATGAGCTACTTCCCCTGTTTTTAATGTTATAATATTTTTTTAAAGTACATTTTGCCAGGTATAGAGGCACACATTTATAATCCTAGCACTCCAGAGGCTGAAGCAAGAGGATCACTGTGAGTTCAAGGCCAGCCTGGGCTATGTAGTGAGTTTGAAAGCCAGGGAAACACAGCAAGACCCTGTCTCCAAAAATCAAAAAAAAGAAAAAAAGCACGTTATGTTACTTACATTCACTACTGATGTTCCACACTTTATATGCAGCCCAGAATAACTCCTCTTCACTCCTTGGGAGCCCCAAGGTCAGACGCCCATGAGCAAAACTCAGATGCACCATGCCACTGAGACTTACAGCAAACAGCAAGGGTTGTCTACACTGACACTCAGGGCAGCTGTGGGCATGGCACTCCAGCCCCTTCAGGCTGATGGCTTCAAGGTGACAGGTGAGCAGGTCACCTAGAAGCCTCTTGTAGCACTTTCAGACCCTGTAGGGAACAGCAGGTTGTGCTTGTGGAGCAGCTCAGAGGGTGTCTTGGGCAGAGCAGGGGTTCAGGGATTCACAGACCCCTGGATTGATGTCAGCCCTAGGGCTCTGCACCAGGCTGGCTGGGCTGCCCTCAGAGCTACAGCCAAGATCCTGGAGGGACCCTCGCCCCAGACAGGGACCCACATCGCAGGTCGGCCTCCCCACAGCCATTAACCTCTGCACTTTGACCTTCACCTGCTCCCCATGTCCCCCACACTAGGGCAGCCTGCACTCCATAATCTGACTTCTGGTCTGGAGTGCTGCACTCTGCAAGGTGTGCAACCCTCCCTACATCTAGGTGTGTCTCCCTAATAAAAAGAACATTTGTCATTGAACCAATCACTTCCATTAGGCGAGGACGATGGCCTAATCAGAAATCAATCTATGGGAAGTTTTCCTGCATCAGCACAGTGTGCTTGAGAAAGCCCAGAATGGTGTGACATGCACACCCGTCATCTGGGCACTCTGCCACCAGAACCTGTGTCCTGGTACCAGTGCCACCTGCATCCTATACTCTGCTGGGTGCCAGCTGTGCCTGTTGATGGCTCGTGGCCCAAGGAAGCAGGAGGATCAAAAGTTCAAGCCCAGGTTGTGCAACTTAGTGTCTATGGGGGACTCAGTCTCAAAAAAGTAAAACAGGGCTGGGAGGTAGCCAGTGGGAAGGCCCTGAACTCAATCCCCAACTTTCCAAAAAATTCCACCACACTGAGGGGGGCCTGCTGAGCCTTCCTACCTCCATTTCTCCACCTTTACAGTGGGAGGAGCTGCTCCCCTTATAGGGCTACTTTGAAACTTAATGCAGTGAACACAAAAAATACTTCAGAGATGCAATTATTGGAGTCATTTCTATAAAACAAAAAGCAAAGCCTAGGTTATAAAGCAGGGGCAGCGTAACAAGAGTATAGGCTTGGAAAATGTTCAAGTCAACCAAGGGGCTCAAAGGAAAGCAAGAGGGTCCCACAGGTGATCTGCACAGTGCCCTACACCTGGCACAGCACCTTGCTGCTGGTCCCAGCAGGGAGACAGCACTTGGGTACAGAGTAGGGCAAAAGCACTGCCTGCCATAGCCATCACTACAACAACCACCAGTGACTGCTGTCATTTAATACATGTACTTCTGTACCTACTTTCAAAAAAGAATTCAATTTGGGAGGCTAGGCAGGAGAATCACTGTGAGTTTGAGGCCAAACTGAACAACATAATGAGACTTTATCTCAAAAAACAAAACAAAGAACCCAAACAAACAAAATGAAAGGAAAAATAAAGAGAAAACAAAGGCATCCAGGTGATCTCCAATCATGACACATGGTTCTTGGAGCACCCAGCTTCAGCTTTGAGTCCCAAGCACCACCAAGTGCCCTGGCCAGGACAGTATCTAAGGTCACATCCTGAAGAGCACTCTCATAGCTCCTAAATCACTGCCACCCCCCCCACACACACACACCCTCATTTCACATGGGGATGATGGGGCAGTGGCGCCGGCACTCACAGCCAGTCATGTCCCCCAGCTTTGTAGGACAAGCACCACCACAGTTACCACCAACCTCCTTCTCCATCCCCAAAATACACTCCGATGTGCTAGGGTTACCAGTGTAAACACCACCCTGGGTTTGACAAAGATAATTGGAACGCAGCAGGTTCTTTTAAATAACCAAGTGAAAGACAATCCGAACGTAAACCTCATGGCTTTTGCCCAAAATGCAACATTTTGAAATAACTTAGAATTAGTCCCAAAGTTCCAGGGAAGTGGTTTGAGGAATGATGGGTGGTCCTAGTCATTCTGCTTTATAGTTTGGCACGGCTCATTAGAACTCTAACATTCTTTGGTTAACCAAGAGTAAAACCTCATGAAGTTTTTCAGCAATGTTTATAGAGTCAGCTCAGCTGTCCAAAAAGCTCTCAATGAGAAGGCCAAGCAGGCAGTCACACATGGCCCAGCCTGGCCCGTGCCCTGCTGTGTGAATGTCCAGGAAATCACAGAAGTTTCCATGAGGCTGAAAGGGTCAGGGGCATGGCAGGGGTGCCACTGCTTAGCAAGAGGTGTCCTGGGGTGGGGACGAAGGCTAACATCTAGTGTATTAAAGGCTGTAGAACAAAGCCATCAGTCAGTGATAGGGTGAGTGGACAAGCTGACCAGCCCTAATTGTAGGACAAATGAATTGGGCCAGGTAACCAACACTAACGTGTCAGGAATAAACAGGATCAGACCAGTTAGCCGGCTTGCTGAGGTAAACAGGATTGGACCAGTTAATGCCATTCTCCCTGACAAGCAAAACCAAACATAACAAACCACAGTGCTTGGTCTTTGGTTTCTCCTTTTCCCTATCTATAAAAGGACTCTGATATTTCCTGCCGACCAAGGATAAGATTCAGGCTTTTCACAGTGGGAGCCTGGGATCTTAGTTTACATCTGGTTGTGCCCACGTGTGACATCATCCAGACAGGTAACTCAACCTCTCTGTCTCCACAGAGCAATTTTCTGCAAAGCCCAAGTGGAGAGTAAGACTGTGAGACACAGGGCAGACACCCACCACTGAGGAGCCCCGGAGCACAAGGGAATGGGACGCTCCTTCCCCCCCTTCAGAACAAAACTACTGTTTTCCACTGGCTTGTTGGCCCTGTGCATGGAACAGGGTAGCCGCTGTTCTACAGAGGCACACAATCCCTCCACAATCCCACTCTGCAGCACTAAATACCTGCCCAGCCTGGCCATCCAGCTTGATGAACCACAGGCACACATAGGTGGGCCAGATGCAGTCTCCCTGAAATATGACTTGTCAATCACATAGCTGCTTCCTGAGACAGTGTAACCCAGAAGACAGCTACAGTGGCAGGCAAGTAGACACAGCCAGGGAGAGTTTAGAAACTGCAGAGATCCCTGTGAAACTTGTAACCTGGGGATCCCTGAAGAGCAGCCTCCAAGTGGGCATCTCAGTCTGCTGGGCTGCCGTCTCTGAACTGGCTCCCACCACCCTGGCCAGCTTGCTTCCCACTAGAAGCCACTGTCCCAGCCTGGGATTGTGGCTCTAGGAGGTGACTTGATCTTTAATACGGGAGGGCCACTTCCCCCTCCACTCCCTCTCCCAGCTAGAAGCCACACTTGTCCTTTGCAAAAAATTGCCAGGAAGAAGCCTCCTTAGGTAAGACTTTTTGCACAGTGCGTTGAAAGTCTCTGAAGCCGTTTGTGAAAACATTTTCTCTATTCCACACAACTTCCCCCAAAGTTTACAAAACGGGATATGCACATTTTTTATCATGGTTTAACAGCTATTAAGCCTCTCCTAAGTATCCAAGGTGCACTGCCCAGGGTCCTGGGGCTGGGGGTTGGTGTCTGGTTACTGGCCTGCCTGTCACCTGACCCAAGGGTGGCCGTTCTCCTCCACCACTGGTCTGCAAGCCAGTCACACCCGAACACTGGGCACCGTCCCCAGCCCAGAGCAGGGCCACCTGCAGCCCTCCCTCCATCCTGCCCTCCCCGGGCTGAGCAAGCAGAAAGTGGAACTGCCCCGGGGCTCCATGCTGGGCCGCGCAGCCTATTTCAGCCCCCAGCGCCTCCACATCAAGCAGGGTGACTTGTAGGCCTTGGAGCCTAGAGAGGCCGCGCCAAGTCCATCAGGAGAGTTCCCCAGGGTCGCCCCCGTCCTGGCTGCCGGTCCTCTCGCCTGGTCGCCCACCAGGCCCAGCAGCACTCGGGTCAATCCGGCCAGAGTCTCTGGCCTGCTGCGGGGGGCCAGGGACCACGGGACAGCGGCGCAGCGGGGTCCTCTCCCGGCGGCGCAGACCCGACCCACTGCAGCGCGGCCTGGGCACCGCCCTGGGCGGCGGGACTCGATGGGGCGACCCCGGGCGGCGGGAGCGGACCCCGGCGACAGGCCCCGC